CAAAACTGCAGTTCCAAAGATAGAAAAACAGTTATGATTTAGCTACTGGGCACATTCCATCATGAATACAAAATCAGAAACTCAGGCCTCCACAGAGCACAGCAGAAACAAAACTCAGTGCCAGTGTGGTAAGGGGAACAGGATACAGAGTAGGTGGAGGAAGTTCTAAGGAAAGGAACAGAAAATGAGGAGGAAGTCCAAACAGGTCTGGCCTACATTCATTCATTCATTCATTTAGGAGAAATGGATATTTTTTCCCAGTACTATGGGACTCTCTTGCTTCAAGTGCAAAAGTGACTCTTGCCAATTAAAAGATGATGCCAAACCTGTCAACATGCTTTCAACTCTCCCTCCCTGCATCACAGTGACAGAGTCATTTCATTTATTTGCTAAACCTGTTCCCTGGCTGCCACTGGGCCATCCTCCCACAGGAGCCAGCAGGCAGGGGTGCCTGGGGAGGACAGACCAGCATTGCTGCCTTAGGTTCCAGGGCACCAGGCCAGGTGCTGCTCAGGGTCTGAAACGGGAAGCTTGCAGGACAGGCTCAGCAGCCCCCCACTGCAGCCTGTGGAACCAGATCTGGAGAAGGGCCACTTCCTAGCTCCTGCCCGCACCTCAGCACAGAGACCCAGGTAGAGCGACATGGAAAACCACCCAGTCATCTTTTCTAAAACATCCATGGATATGCCAGACAGAAGGTGGGAATCCTAATGCATATATTCTACCTTCCTTAAAAAAAGTAGAAAATACTGAGAAACAAACTCCCAAATTTCTTTTTTTTTTTTTGGTTTGTTTGTTTTTACTATATGCTGAAAAAAGAAAAGGCCAAGCTGCCAACGTGGAAGGGGAAAAGGAAACATCCCAAACCACAGGTACTGCATCAGGAAGCCACACAGCTAGCCAAACTCAAATCTAACAAAGGCTTAATGCTTGGGGAAAGTTCTAAAGTGATTCTACCAACCGTTTTATAATGCTGCTTCTACATGGCTTGAAACTTTTAACAATCATACGCAGGTAAAACTTTTATAATAAATTAGTTTATTTTTAAAAATAAATACCTAAGCTGGCCAGCACCCAGGATGCCAGACCAGCAAGAGCCCAGACCCCTAAGGAGGGAGGGGTGAGGAAGGCCCTTTGGTGAGAGGATGCAGCTAAGCACAGGTGCTCCCACCTGCAGCACCTGAGAGGCTTTCAGCTCTGGGGGCAGGGAAAGCCACCAGGACCTAAGAGGCCTCCGGCAATGCAGCAGGCATCTGGGAGTCAGGGAAGTCAAGACTCAGCCTCAAAAAAAGGAGATTAAGAAGAGAGGCGTAAGAGAGCAGCCAGCATGTCCCCTGCTTTCTGCAGGAGGGGAGGGACCAGGCACTGGAGGGACACTTCTCCCAGCAGCCGGTCATGCTAAGATGCTGAAGAAGAGGCAGCGCTGTTTGACCCCAGGGTCTTAAAACTCCAGGTCAGGGTCCCCAGGGCTGGCACATGGAAACACCATTCCTGCCTAGCTCCACCTACTTTAACAGGTAGGAGAGGCAAGTCTGTCCACAAGAATGAGAACCAGCAGCTGCCCACGTATCCCAGGACATCTGGCCCATGTGCAGGCAAGAATGTGGAACTCTAACTGTCACCAAGGTACTGAGACCCTGTTAGAGGAGACTGGGGGAAGGGGCAGGCAAGCAACACATTCCTAACAATTCAGGGTTGAGTTTTTCCCACCCATCTGATAATAGGGAGCAGCAGAAGCAGACAAGGGGATCCCTAAATTCTTTTAAGATCAAAACCTTTCACCTCCCCAAGTGAGCTGGTCCCAACAGCACTGCAACGGCGTGGGGCAGGTCACGCTGTCAACGGCTTCCAGTTGCAAGCATGCCTTAATGTTCTTACTGAAATGCTCTACCCACAGGGCATGTCCCCAGTGTCAGTGCCTGCTCCAAGCAAGGCCAGCAAGCTTGAAAGGAAGCTTGTGAGCCACTGGTTGTGCCCCTGGCTTTGCAGAGGGGCAAACTCCCCCTTAAGAGGGACAGCGCCCTGCTGCTGGCATGCCCAGGACTGGACAGGGCTGAGGCTGCGGGGCTCCTCTGCCTTTGCTGACTGACAAGCTGTTCCTCCAGAAGTGGCTCCGGAGGGAGGATGGAGGCAAGACACTGGTGTGGCAATGGGAAGGGGCTGGTGGCCTTGGCTGAAGCTACTCTGTACTGTTCTACTGAGATCGTATGTTTGAGTGGGGATGGTTAAAGGAGCTAGGAAAGGCTACAGGAGGGCTAAGCACCCCAAGCTAGGATGCCTCTCGTTCCCAATATGATAGGCCTGGAGAAATATTTGCTCGATTGATTCCCAAGGAAGAACCAAAAAAACTGATGATACACCTTCCCAGCCTCAATATTCCAAAGGCAACGACCTTCGGCTCTGCAAGGACCAGGCTGTTATATGAAGGCAAAGGGAGCTGGGGCGGGGCCCAGAGGGCAAGGATGAGAACACATGCATAGACACCTGTCACTGCACCTGTCCAGTGCACAGGCAGCTTTGCTGTGTGAGCTGAGCGCCCGCTGCACTCAGAGCCACCAAGATCTGTGATCACCATCATATAATCAACTTTCTATTTGTCCCTGCAATACATAAAAATGACTAGATGATGATCACCACATTTGGAGGCTATATTTGCATGCTCTGACGCAAAATGTTGCTATGTGGGATACAAAAGCGTTACTGGCAATGGGGGAAAGGGCAGTACTCAAAGAAATAGCATCCCTCAGGGCAGCTGGAAGGCTGTGGAGGCCCCCAGGACCACACTGGAGCACAGATCAAGAGGGAAGGGAGAGAAGGCCCTACTCTGTCTAGTTTACAGTTCTTTAGGGCAAACCTAGGGCCAGCTGTTGGGTGGAAAGGGGTCTGTTCAGCAGCCTACTCAGGGGTCATCCCCCACCCTGTCCTTACCCATCATCCCTTGTGCCTAGCGGTTGGCCTTCCACCATGGCTGATTTCCTGGGGACAATAACGAGACCACTGACTTCGCTTTGTGCCAACCTCTTGCCGAGTCCAAGGGAATTTCAACTCCCTAGTGCTATTAACCCACATAGTCACTACAGGCAAAAATGCACCCTGGGCCACATTCCTATGCACCTCTCTTAAAATTCAGGGTCTCTGTCCCTCTGCCATCTGTGCCAAGGCTGGTTAGAGGCATTCCAGGGCATGCTCTCTGCCTACTTTGCAAAGTTGAGGTTCAATTCTGAAAAGCAGGGCTAGTTTGCTCCTGGAAGGATGTGCAGGTACCACAGCACGGCACAGTTCCACTTGCTTTTAAATCACATTGGATTTACAAATTCAGAAACTGCTCAGTCTGGCACCAGGTGAAGAATTAGAGTAAAAAATTAGCTTGGCCACATCTTTCCTTGTTAGTGATACTGGGCTCTTATATGGCATGGGCTTTTTGATGATGAGCAAATGTGTAGATATGCTTAGTGAGAAACCATACTAAGGAAAAATAACAGTCACTCTCCAACATTTGTTAAGTACTTACAGGTTTACTTTTTCTCATATTTATTTATTCATGACTCTTATAAATGGGCAATGCCTGCTTTTTCATCACCCAAATCTGAGCACAAACACTGCACACATGTCTTTATAGAGATGCATATTTTCTGATTGAAACTGTTTCAGCTCTAGGAATACATTTTAAAACCTATATTTTCATCTCTGCATTTACCACACCCTTGTTTTTCCTGGCAAAGCCCTCAAAGTGTAAAGCCCAATGGAGAATTTCCTTTTAATTCCACCAGAATAAAGCAATGTCAGTCCTTTTTCACACTTTCCTCACATCAAAGTGGGTTTATGACCACAAACATTTTGTATTAATAAAGGTCTCAGCACACCCGAGCCTGAAAATCTGATTTACCCCTCCTTCTTTTAACTTGAATTCCTTCCACAGTCCACAACTTCCTCGGAAAAATTCTCCCAGCTGCTCCTCCCTCCGGTCTAACAAACAGCACTCACCGAGAGCGGGTTTCCTTTTTGCACTTTTCGCTCCTTTTGACTTTGCCCGTCATGGCAAAAGTTTAGTTTGAAAAGCCAAATAGCCACAGTGCAAATTCTAATGGCACCAAACAGGTTTCAGTTAAACACATTTCCAAGAAAAAAGAAGACCAAGTTTCTGGGCATCACAGAACACTAAGGCCTTTGTGACTGAGTTCGGGGTCTCCCTGAGCTTTTCCCTGGACAGTTGCAGTGTTTCTTCCTTCACTAAATCTGCCCCTCTAGAAGGTCAGGCACAGTCTGAGATCTAGATATGCCCTCGTATGCAGCCAAGGCTTTCCGGAACTCCTTTAAACTTATCATCCCTTAGTTTTTTTGGTAGAAAAACAGGGTCACCATGCTCACCCCCGAAACATACACCGCACATTGTGCTCACTCGGGAAACGTCTTAAGGCGATGGATGGGTTTCACCTCCTAATCTTGGAAGGCAGCCCTTCCTTCCTGTTATCCGGCTTGGCGAGTTTACTTTCCCCATTCGGCTCGGCGCAAATAGTAATATTAATATATGTCGCATGCAGAGTGCCTTCACAGCAGGCATGGGGTGTACGGGCACCCCGTTTTACTCGGTGGAAACTGAGGCTCTAAGAGGTTAATTCACGTACGGCCATACAGTGACCAGGTGGCAGAGCTGAACCAGAACTCGGCCGGTCCGGTTAGCATTTCTACTTTGGGCTGCCGCGCTTGCAAGCAGCTGCCTTTACTCTGGGACATCTCCGGGTGCCGGAGGGGCAGGTGTAAGCGGAGGGCATTTAAAGACCCAGCTCCTGGCGACGCCTCAACGAACTCCCCGGGAGAGCCCCCGCCCGACCTTAGGCTCGGGGCGCCCGCCACTCTCATTCCTGCCCGTGCTTCCCAGCGCACCCGGCGCGGCTGTGGGGGCCACACGCGGCAGGTGCCCAGGTGCGCGGCCCGGGGGCGTCTCCGGCGCAGGGCGCGGGGCGCTGGGCGCCGGGAGGCCCCGGCTCGCGCGCACCTACCTCGTCCCCGAAGCGCACCACCTTCTGGCCGGTGGGCCCGCGCAGGCCGGGGAAGCACGCCGGCTCGTCGGGGTCCCCCGGCGCGCGGGGCGCGGGGGCGCGCGGCCCCACCAGGCAGCGGTCGATGATCTCGTCCTGCTGCGCGGGCGGCAGCCGCGCCCACTCGGGCCCGTACTTCTCCCGGATCTTCTCCTTGTCCTGCATGATCTTCCTGGCCATGGGGCTCAGCGACGAAAAGTAGGTGAAGCGCTTCCGCTCCCGGTCGTCCAGAGGCCGGTTCCCGCTCATGACCGCCGAGCGCGAGGCCGCGATCGCCGCCGCCATGGACGCCATGCCCGGCCTGCCGCCGCGCCCCGCCCGCCCCGAAGCCCCGCCCCGCCAGGGAGCCCCTCCCCACGCCCCGCCCCCTTGCCGCAAGCCCCGCCCCCGCCGTGGACGCCATGCCCCCCCCGCCGCCGCGCCCCGCCCGCCCCGAAGCCCCGCCCCTCCAGGGAGCCCCTCCCCACGCTCCGCCCCCTATCGGGAGCCCCGCCCCGCCGTGGACGCCACGCCCCGCCTGCCGCCGCGCCCCGGAGCCCCGCTCCGCGCCCCGCCCCCTTACGGCGAGCCCCGCCCCCCGCCATGGACGCCATGCCCAGCCTGCCGCCGCACCCCGCCCTCCCCGGAGCCCCGCCCCGCCAGGGAGCCCCGCCTCTAGCCCCGCCCTCCCCGATCCCCGCCCGGCCCTGGAGCCCCGCCCTTTTACCGCGAGCCCCGCCCCCCGCTGTGGACGCCATGCCCGGCCTGCCGCCGCACCTCCCCCAGCCCGGGAGTCCCGGCCCGCGCCCCGCCCCTTCCAGCGAGCCCCGCCCACGCCCACGCCGACCCCGGGGAGTCCCGCCCCGCACGGCTCGGACCGAGGAACTTGGCTCCTGGCGTTCGCCAAACCCGGGAGCCCCGCCCTCCGAGCCCCTCCCCCTGCGACCCCCTCGCGACTCCCCTCGCGCTCCCGTGGATTCCCTTGGTGCCCGCTTTTCAGGGTTCCCCTCGGCTGGCGAGTGGCTGGCGCGTCCCCAAGTGTGCGCCCGGTGGTCTGCGGGGGTTGCTATGGCTCGTTCCGGGGGTGACCGCCATAGCGCCACGTGGTCACTGCGGGACAAAGGAAACTTTCCTGCCTGCAAGGTGCACGAGCAAACCGGGCACTCGGGACGGGCCGGCCCTTAGCCCTGCCTGTCCTCCCCGCTGAGCCACCTTCTCGGCTTCCTTCGAGCGGCGGGTTTGCTGCCCCCACTCCCCTCGGCGGGCTGCACCGCCGGCCGTATTTTGACGAGGCTGTGACAGGTCTCGGGTGAGAATTCAGTGTCCCCTCTCCAGACAAAAAAACTGCATTTCAGCTGCCACTTAGGGTCTTTGTTTGGATAATTCTGAACACAAACATAGAAATAACTTGCAAAGTTCTATCTTTAAATGAGAGATGGTCTTATCATTTTCAAGCCCTGAAGTCCTAAGAATATTTTTGGTATGTCATGAATGTGGTAAGCTGTACAGCAAAAGACATGATTATAAACAATGTTATCAGCATAATATATTGAAGCAGGGAAAAGCAGGAACCACCACATAATGGCCTGGGTTGCACAGTAAGTAAAGGAGTATTTATGAAGCCGAAAGCCTGATAAGAGTTTGTTGGGTATTCTCTATTTAAGTTGATGCTGTATAGGCTCTGTACACTGACCTGAATCCCTCTGATGTCTCTCCTCGAATCCTTGTTTAATAACGTGGGTGATGTTTAAAGATGTAGTCTTGAAATTTAATTAACATCTCCAAGCTTGCTTTGAAGTTCACAGGAAGGGTTCTGTGGCATTGGAAACTTGGTCGCATGCTGTTTTCAAAGCAGTTGCAAAAATAATTGTTGCTTTCAAAAAAATACAACCCCATTAACTGTTTTGAATTAAGTATAATTTATTGTCAGAGAAGTTTCCAAAATAATATGTGTGTGATAACTCAGGAACATTGGCCAAAGTATGTAAAGTCTATAATCTGGATGATGAAAGATAACTAAAAGAGAAATTCTTGGAGATTATAAAAAGAAACTCAGGAAAATTAAATGTCTCTGACAGATGATTTGTCTGAAATTAGAGACATTTTATCTATATCTGTGTCTATTATCTATGCCAAAGGGAAATAAAAATAGCCAAACTCCAACTTTATAATTAGGTGCTGTGGTCTGAAGGTTTATGTCCCCTGAAAATTCATGTTGAAATCCTAACTGGTAAGGTGATGGTATAAAGAAGTGGGCCTTTTAGGAGATAATTGGATCAGGAGGGCAGGGCCCTCATACATGGAATTAATGCCCTTATAAGAGACCCAAAGGAGTTCATTCACCCCTTCCACCACGTAAAGATACTGCGAGAATGTGTTATCAGAAGGCACCATCTGTCAGCCAGGAAGCAGGCCCTCATAAGTCACTGAATCTGCTGGCGCCTTGATCTCAAACGTCCCAGCCTCCAGCTCTGTGAAAAATAAATTCCTCTTGCTTAAAAGCTCCCCAGCTTGCAGTGTTTTGTTAGAGCAGTCCAAACAGACTAAGACTCAAGGGAAAATAGTGAGCAGTGGGTCTGGTGCTAGGCACCTGTCTCAGTCTGTTGGGGCCATTGTAACAAAGTACCACGGGCCGGATGGCTTAAGTAAAGCCATTTATTTCTTACAATTCTGTAGGCTGGAAGTCCGAGATGGCATGCCAGCATGGTCAGGTTCTGGTGACAGCCCTCCTCCAGGTTGCAAACTGCCAACTTCTTGTTACATCCCCAAGCTCCCTCTTGACTCTTAGAAGGGCACCAATCCCTTTAGTGAGGGCCCCACCCTCATGACTTCATTTATTCCTAATTACATCTGGCAGACCTCACCGCCTAATACCATCACACGGAGCGGGGAAGGATTTCAACAAATGAACTTGGGGGAACACAAACATTCAATTCAAAATATCACCTTAAGCAAGAATTGGGATGGAGACAGTGTTTCTTTCTTTCTGTGAATTTGGGTTAGCCGGTAGACTCTGTTTACAAAATGAAGCATTTCTCACTGAAACGCTTTAAAACCTTGCAGTGGTCCACAGAACATCCACTTATTCATTAACCTTCCATTTGCTACATTATGTTGAGCGCCAAGGGGAGAGACAAAAAGGGTGTGAGAGCAGGGTTATTGCACTAGATCTGTTGGTGATGAATGATCAGTATCCCACACAAGGTCAGCTGTGGGATGGCCTTGAGCACACTCTACCTAATCTATGTACACAATCCAAATGTTCACATGTGCTATGGTTTGAATATTTGTCCACCACAAAACTCACATTGAAATTAAATCCCCAATGTGGCAATATTGAGAGGTGGGGCCTTTAAGAGGTGATTGGATCATGAGGACTCTACCCTCATAAACGGATTAATCCATTCATGGATTAATGAATTAATGGGTTAATGGATTAATAAGTTACCATGGAAGTGGGGCTGGCAGCTTTATAAGAAGAGGAAGAGAGACCTGAGCTGGCACGTTCAGCCCCCTCGCTATGAGATGCCCTGCACTACCTCGGACCCCGCAGAGTCCCCACCAGAAGGCAGGAAGGCCCTCACCGGATGCTGTCCCTCAACCTTGGGCTGCTCAGCCTCCGTAACTGTAAGAAATAAATTAAATTCCTTCTCTTTATAAAGCACACGGTTTCTGGCATTCTGTTTTAAGCAGCAGAAAATGGACAAAGACAACATGGTATGGGTTCCTGGAATGCTTTTCTTAGAAATTAGGGAGACACAGCAACAATTGTTAAACTGTCTCTGGTGTCCTGGACTATGGAGTGCTTCCTTTGCAAGTGCCGTTTCAGTTATTTTCCTCAGACGTGTTCTTGGGTCCCTGCCAGAAGATAAACTCCACAACCCAGAAAACCTTATCTGTCTTGTTTACTGTTGCAAACTATAAAGCCTGATTCAGAGTAGGGGCTCAATGACTGTTGGATAAACTATGAAAGAATGAACAAATGTTCCATGGTTTGCATTATTAATCCTGTCTTTGCGAATAAGGAAACTGAGGCATCAGAGGAGATTGTTCCCACTTGAGATTGTTCCCTCTTTCCCTTGTAGTTCTTGATGGCACTGACATCACAGAACAGGACTGCCTTTGTCTTTTGTTAAATCTGTAACGTTGGATTAATGTGTCTAAGGTTAATCACTGGATATAATAATGATAATAATAATAGATTGAGTTTATGGGTACAATTTATCAAAGCTTCTAAGTTACTCATTGCCAAAACACAGCGCTGATTTTTCAGTATAACAATTGAAAACCCAAAGTGACGATCAACATTCCTGTTATACATCTGACATCTTAGCTAATAGTCATGGCCCTGAAACTTCTCTCCCGGGGTCAGCTCCATTTAAAAAATCTGTTGAGAGGGACACAAACAGCCAGGCCAGCTGGTCTTGAGAAAGATGAATAAGCCTCTACAGGAAAACCTCCACACCCTGTTTGAGCTGAACCTGTTCATCCTTGAGGTCAGGACAGGTGTCTTGCCCTCTGTCTGTGGTCCTAGGTATTCACAGAGCGCATGGGCAGGGAAAATGCTTTCTATTCTACTCATATCTCTCAAGTCTCTTCCAGTAGAAATTAACCTTTTCACTTGAAGTAATTATGTATTATATTTTGTTCCTTTGGCATCCACACTTACACACTCTCGTGTTTTAACCTACCTCCCTGTGTAGAAGAATGAAGTTGACGCTATGGAGACTCTTGTCTGTAGCAGGCACTGTGAAATCTTGCACTGGTCAGACGTTTTCCATTAGTTAGAAATTTCTATATTAGTTGGATGTTTCACCTATGTTTTAGTGAGAACCTGCTATCAAAAAACTAGCTTCTGTCTTCACTTTCCCCACAGGTTGTGTTGAGGGCGTTCTTTAGGACTAAGAGCAGTAGGATGAAGATTATGGCTAAAACAGAAAACTCTGACGGCAGACATTCGGCGCCCAGGGCCGTGCTGTGCAAGCTTGAGTGTGGCAGGGTCGCCTTGTGAAATCGGAGCTCTGGGTGCCACCCTGAGAGTTTGATTTGGTAGGTCTTCAGTGGGGACCAGGAACTTTCATTTTTAACAAGTTCCCAGATGATGCTGGTCTACTGGTCCAGGGACCACACTTTGAGAACCGCCACCCTTGCATACCCTGGCCACGTGACTCAGGGTTGCCAGACCCGAGCGTTGAGCAACCCAGGAGTATAAACGAGGACATTTAGACTAGGACATTTGCTTCCATGTTCTAGGTGCCCTTCGCTGCTTCGTAGGGAATCAGAATGACCTGGTGGACAATTGTAAATAAGGACAAGAAAACACTCAGCTGACATCACTGCCTTTGAGTCCCAACCAGCTTGAATCTACACCACCTAATCACATGCCGGAGGTCACCAGTGTCATGTTACTTCATGACTCAGGA